ATTTATTTCGGCTTCTCCCAACGGGGCCACGAAGGATCAGAAAAGCTGAAGAAGAGACCCTTCCTCAGAGGAGGCGGGAGACCACCGGACCCGCCGAGGAGGGGAATCCGGCCGCCTTTCCCTCCAGAGCTTCGCCTTTTGCCCCGGCCAAGTTGCGCCGAGGGCGCCTTGCGGGCTCTGTGTGGCTTCAGGCGGAGCCTAGGAGCCACTTCCCAGCCTGGAGGGCAGGCTGTGCGCGGACCCCGCCACTCTCGGGGCGCGACCCAGACCCGGCTGCCTTCCACGGCCAGCAGAGGTAGGCCGCCGGCTTCTAACCCGGCGGAACTGGGGCGTCCCGGGCGCAGCGCCGCGCTCCCCGCTCCTCCCGCCCCGCCCCCTTCTCCCGGGTGCCCCCTCCCTCCTTTGTTCTCCGGAGCCCCGCCTCCCCCTCTGCCCCAGCTCGCCTATTGGCTCACGCAGCCGCCACTCAGGTGGGGGCCCGCTTTGGCCCCGCTCCCCGGCCGCCGAGAGAGAGTAGGAGCGTGCGGGGCTGGGCTGGGCGGTCGGGCGTCTCCTTCCCTGCGCTGCTTCGGCCGCGTCTGTAGCCGCCGCGGGACCAGGCGGGAGGCCAGTCATGCCCAGACACTGCCAGCCGCTCGGAAGGAGCCGTCGCTCCGCCGGGCAGCGCCTGCCTGTGCGCCCCTCGCTCCCTGCGCCGAGGATGGCGGGGGCGCCGGGCGCAAGGCAGCGCCGGGGCTGCTGGGCAAGCGGCAGATGCTGATGCAGTTTGGGGAATTCCTGTCACAGGGAGCAAGGCAGAAGCGGATGACGGGGCACGTTCCCCGGGGGAGCGGGGCCGGAGGATTAGCCCGACTCGCCCGCCTCCCTCCCACGGCACACTAGGCAACGTCCGGCGGCACACTAGTGTGCCGCGGAACACCGGTTGGGAAACACTGTATTAGACCATCTAAATCAGCATTGCCTTCACCAGTCTTCCCCAACCTAGCATTCTTCAGATGTTTTGGACTACACATCCCATCAGGCTATACAGGTATGGCTGGCTGAGGCTAATGGGACATGTAGTCCACAACCAGTGGAGGGCACCAGGTTGGGGAAGACTAGTGCACACTGACTGGCAGTGACTCTCCAGAATTTCAGACAAGAGGCTCTCTCAGGCCTTAAATCCTAACCTTCATGTTTCCCGCTTCCCCAAGCAGTAGGAACTTCCAAGGACAGCCTTTCCCTGAGTAAATTTCATTATGATAAAAAAAATAGTGGAGGAGCACTCACTCATCTGATAGACACACAGTGCTAGTGTTTATCAAAAAGAACATATTACTGAAGCCCAGTTCTCCCGCGTTGTTGCTTTCTTGCCAGGTAGCTGAAAAATGCAGTATTATTTCTTATTCACTGGCTACCTTCCAGCTGATAAATTGCTCCTTTAAAGCCCACCTCAGGCAGTTGGGGTGGCTCAATAGATCAGAGCCCTGAAAGGCTTTCTGCATTAAGGAAGATGCTCATATGGCAAACTGTACAAAAACCATGACATAGTGTTTCGGAAAATTCAGACAGGATGCTTTCAAAAAATACTTCCATGGTGTGTTAAGACAAATGCCAATATCAGCTTTGCAACTGTCAGGGTTAAACGAAAGGGGGGAAGTGAAAGAACACTCAAGTTCCCTAAGGGCTAATTCAAACACCACTTTTAGAAGGTACTTCAGTTCCTAGAATCACTCACATATTTGCATAGTGGCGTGTGTGTGTGTGTTTGTGTGTGTGTGTGTGTGTGTGTGTCTTTATGTCTTTATATACCACATTTATATATACATGCAGGACCTTCTTGCCCATGGACGTATCTGTAGACTTAGATTCATAGAACTGTAGAGCTGAAAGCAGAAAGTGAGGAGGAATTAAAGAACATTTTCATGAGGGTGAAAGAGGAGAGCGCAAAATATGGTCTGAAGCTCAAAAAAATGAAGATCATGGCCACTGGTCCCATCACCTCCTGGCAAATAGAAGGGGAAGAAATGGAGGCAGTGAGAGATTTTACTTTCTTGGGCTCCATGATCACAGCAGATGGTGACAGCAGTCACAAAATTAAAAGACGCCTGCTTCTTGGGAGAAAAGCAATGACAAAAGACGCTTAAAAGACGCCTGCTTCTTGGGAGAAAAGCAATGACAAACCTAGACAGCATCTTAAAAACAGAGACATCACCTTGCCAACAAAGATCCGTCTAGTTAAAGCTATGGTTTTCCCAGTAGTGATGTATGGAAGTGAGAGTTGGACCAGAAAGAAGGCTGATCGCCGAAGAATTGATGCTTTTGAATTATGGTGTTGGAGGAGACTCTTGAGAGTCCCATGGACTGCAAGAAGATCAAACCTCTCCATTCTTAAGGAAATCAGCCCTGAGCGTTCACTGGAAGGACAGATCCTGAAGCTGAGGCTCCAATACTTTGGCCATCTCATGAGAAGAGAAGACTCCCTGGAAAAGACCCTGATGTTGGGAAAGATTGAGGGCACAAGAAGGGGACGACAGAGGACGAGATGGTTGGACAGTGTTCTCGAAGCTACCTGCATGAGTTTGACCAAACTGCAGAGGCAGTGGAAGACAGGAGTGTCTGGCGTGCTCTGGTCCATGGGGTCACGAAGAGTCGGACACGACTAAACAACAACAAGAGCTGAAAGAGACCCCAAGGGTCATCTAGCCCAACCCCCTACAATTCAGGAACCACAGCTAAAAAAATCACTAGAAGGTGGTCATCCAACCTCTGTTTAAAAACTTCCAGTGAAGGAGAGTCCACCAGCTTCTGAGGTAGTCAGAAACATCTTCCTTATGTTTGGTTGAAATCTCCTGTCTTGTAATTTGAACCCACTAGTTCAGGTACTACTCTCTGGAACAGCAGAAAAACAATCTTGCTCTGTATTTCATGTGACATCCAAGTCATTTATATAAATATTGAACACCACTGGTTCGGGAGGTGCCACAGCTTCTTAAACATCAGCCAGCTTCTTACCATAGCTGTCAACTTTCAGATTTGAAAATAAGGGATCAGCGGGCTCAAAATTAAGGGATCAGCAGTCTCACCTGTCCCGGGGACAGTCTACGGGATATCTAACAATCCGGGATAGCAGCGGGAAACGGCATTGGAATAAGGGAATTTCCTGCAAAAAAAGGGGGAGGTTGACAGCTATGCTTCTTACACACATTGGAACATAAGAGAATCTGCCTTGCACCAGGTCAGACCATTTGTCCATCTAGCTCAGTATTGCCTACACTGACTGGCAGCAGCTCTCCAGGATTTCACACAGGGGTTTCTCCCAGCCTCTGCCTGGAGATACCACTGGGGACTGAACCTTTTGCATGCAAGGCAGAGGCTCTGCTCCAGACCACAAAAGCTTTCGCCAGAATAAATCTGATTTAGGGAATTTGGTTTTGGTTTTGAGGTGCCACAAGCAAGCCTTTCTTTTTCTTGACTGCGACAACCCCATACTTTAAGCATGCCCTACTCTGAGAGGAAATGGATTTCTTTTATTATTATCAATATGTATGACTACTGCTGGGAGGTATAATATATTATTAGCTGTGTGTGAAAGGAGGGCAACATTTCCCTATAACCAGGCCTTTGGCTGATCATCATTCTGTGGCCCTTTAAATGCGTTTCTCAGAGGAGGGTTATGGGTTTGTTTTTGTTTTCTTATGTATTTTGTATTCTCATTTTGTATTTTTATGTTGTCACCAGCCCTGTGGTCTTCGGATGGAAGATGGTATACAAATTTAATAAATAATAATAATAATAATCTTCTGAGGTGCTTACCCAACTTCCAGCCCTTTGATCTTCGGATGAAGGGTGGTATGCATGTTTAATAAATAAGATTATTAATAATATTGTGAGGCGATAACCCAGCTTCCAGCCCTATGATCTTTGGATGAAGGGCGGTATACAAATTTAATATTAACAACAACAACAACAACAATCTTGTGAGGCGAGAACAGATCCTCCAAGTGTCCCTATTTTCCAGGGATGTCCCTGATTTACAGAAGCCGTCCTGGTTTCTGATTTGACCCCAGAATATCCTGTTTTTACTTAGGATGTCCCTGTTTTCTCCCTATTGGAGAAATGTTGGAGGGTATGGAGTTATCTGACCTGCAAGCCGTATTGTAGCCTAAAAGCAGAGAAGAGCAGAGAAAAGTTGTTTGGATTTTTTAGGAGAAAGGGAATTTTGGACAGTTTTGAGGCCTGGTTGGGGGGGTGACTTCGGGCCTAGGTGGGGTCACCTGTCCTCACCTCCTTCAGTATGAAGGGAATCCTGTATAGGGAAGTTTTTGTTTTTTTAATGCTTAATGTTTTAGTATGTTTTTATATATGTTGGAAGCTGCTCAGATGTGTGAGGTATAAATAGTCAAATTATCCTTATTGAATGGGATGTCCCTATTTTCAACAGAGAAAAGTTGGAGTGTATCTAATAATAATATAATAGCAATCTTCTGAGGCACTAACCCAGCTTCCAGCCCTGTGGTCTTTGAATAAAGCGTGGTATACAAATTTAATAAATAATAATATTAATAATCCTCTGAGGCGATAACCCAGCTTCCACCCCTGTGATCTTCAGATAAAAAGTGGTATACAATTTTAATAAATAATAATATTAACAATCTTCTGAGGCGATAACACTGCTTCCAGGATAAAAAGTGGTATACAATTATTATTAATTATTATTATTATTATTATTATTATTATTATTATTATTATTATTATTATTATTATTATTATTATATCTTCTGAGGCGAGAATACACCTCCCCCCACCTCACGACACCCCCCCCCGCGAGAACCCCAAAGCGCGCGCCCAAATCAAAGCTCCTCCCCCTCCCTTCCTTCCAGGGGACCTTAGCAACAAGGGAGGAGGGGGCTGGGAAACGCAGCGCGCGCGCCTGCGCCTGCGCCCTCTTCCACAGTCTCCCTGCCTCTCTCCCCGCAGCCCCAGCATTAGGAGCCGCGGCCTCTCTCCGTGCAGGGGGTGGTCTCTTCCGGTTCACGCCGGAGCAGAGGAAGCCGGGCGGCCATCTTGGATCATCCGGGAGCGGCGGCGCTGCTGCTGCTGCTGCTGTTGCTTCTGGCTGAAGCGGGCTGGGTGGTGGGGAGGAAGGAGGAAGCCCGCTCGGTGGCGGTGGAGGCGGCGGCGGGTCTCCTCCGCGCTCGGTGTTGTCGGAGAAGGGAAGGCTCGGCGCCAGACCCCTCAGGCTGAGGAAGGAGGGCCCGCTCTTGTTAGCATAGCGGCGGCAGGAGGAACCGGGACTTTCTCTGGAGGAGGAGGAGGAGTCGGGGCGGGGGGCGAAAGGCATGAGCGCCGAGGGCCGGTGAAGCGGGGCTTGGGGTCCTTTGAGGCGGACGGAAGCCTCCCCTGGGCAGCTCTGAGAGGGGGTTCATCCTCCCCGACTCCGGTTTATCCCCCCCTCTCACTTGGACTCCGTCTCTGCAGCGCCCCGAAACACCCCCCCCTCGCCCGCAGCCCCGTCCCCTCCCTCCTCAGAAGCGGCTCTGGTCTCTCCTCGTCTCCCTCCCTGCCCCCCCCCTAACCCAGGCACACGCTTCTCTTTCTCCCCCACCCCTCTTTTTTTGTGCTCCGTGAGAATCCCCGTCTTCTTTAATCCGCCGCCTTCGAAGGATCCTAATCTGGTCTGTAGGATGATCCCTGAAGACTCCCGGGAGGATACAATGCTCCATTATCAGACTGGAATATAGATGAGAAACGGGGGTCGTGGTGGAGAAGGGGGAAGCAAGCCGGATTTCCCTCCCCACACTCCCCTTCTTTTCCCACCCACCCCCACCCTTGATGGTGGTGCTTCGTAACCACTATCATGCAGTAAAAATGCGATTTTTTTTGTAAATATATATATATACATATACATATATATATATATATATATAACTATTCGGAGGGGGGAGGGTGTTAGGATTTTCTATATCTGTATACACCATACGTTAGCTGGATTTTGCCATTGCAAACGGTGCTTCAGCGCAAGTGGATGAAAATGTCCACTAGAACTCCGCTGCCCACAGTGAATGAACTGCCCACCGTGAATGAAAACGTGAGTGTACTTCAGGATTGTCCGTTGTTGTAATGAGAATTTTATAGTAAGCTGAATGCCTTTTTTTTTAATGCCTGGTGTTAAATTTCACAGTATGCAGCACAGTATATTTTGCCTCCATCTTAAAAGATGTATCATGACATGGGTTATTAAATAGTGGGTGGAAATGTTCTGTTTTCTATGAAAATACGGATGTTTGAAGTTCGGATGAAATTGATAATATGCGGTCAAATTGTGATAATTGAAATCCTTTCAGAGGACATCTTGACATCACCTAGGGCATCCATTGCTCTACTGTTATGACATTCATTGTCTGGCAGCTGGACATCTGGTGACAGATGTTGTACAGGTTGTTGTGAAGAATGTTATCAGTAGGGAAGCTCTTATCAAGGCCTGCCTGCAATAACCTTCTCTTTAAACTTGGGATCCCTCTCACTTCTACTTCTCTTTCTAAGTCCCTCACACTTTAGTCTTATGTCTTTAGAATGTGACATAATCAGAACAGATGTTCTTGGGCATAAAATATGGTTATCATTACAAGTGGATCATGTATACACTTAGAAAGGTAAAGAATGGTTCTTTTCCTCTGACAAAGATTGGATTGAGTGACCTAGATAACATATATTTCAAATCTGATTTGTATATCTCATAAGTGACCGAGTAAGCCCTTGTGTTGGCAGTCACTTAGGTGATTTTAAAGTACCCCCCTCCTTTTGATCTAGATGTTATATTTACCTGTATATATAGCATTTGAGGTTGGTTGCATAAATGCTAAAGAAAATTGAATTATTTTCAAATGAAATATGTGAATTGAGAGGTATTTATGCTGTATTACAATAAAGGTTTGGACGTTTGGTGTCTCTGAAATTTGGAGAGAAAAACTTGAATATTTTCTTTAACTTTTGGAAAACCAGGTTTGCTATCAATATGATTTCAAATGCAAATTCCTTCTGGCAAAGAAATTGGCAGCATGTCCATTGATACAGGACTGAAGACACAAGTGACAAATCTGTGTGTGCTGCTTATCAGATAGCCAGTTTTACTGTAAACTTAAGAATCTCTGATAGGCTCCAAGAAAAAAGGCGTTTTATTTATCTCATTTATGAATTGCCTCCCATATAAGATCCCAAAGCAGTTAAACAATGAAAAATATATATAAACAATTTCAAGTTCAGTACACCTATCTAGATGGGAATAAAAATCTCCATTTAAAAGGCTTGTTGGAGAAGGAATATCTTCAATAGGCTCCATCCACTGTTGAGAAAAATATACTTAGATGCATATTTTTTGTTGTATGTGTGTTAGCTGGCCTATTCATTGTGATTGACTGAGGATACTTGCAACAAGCTTAGATACAGAGGTGGAAAATATGCTTAGCGGAACAATTGTTGCATTGTCAAGTCTCTGGATTTATTGACATAGTAGATAAAACTTCTCTATTCTTTGTTTACTTTAGTTTACAGATTATAAAAAGAACTAAAGACTATATTCAGCCAGAGTTAATTAAGTAATTCAATTATAGAATCTTTGTGGACTTCATTCCAGGCCTCCAGAGTTGTCTTTCAGGGGAAATTGTCCTGTGTTGGACACTTCTGTAGTTCATTGTCAGTCTTGAGGTTTTTTCAGTAGGTTTGATCACTTAACTCTTTTACTAACTAGATCACTCTAGTACCAGCAAGTTCATCAGGCTTAGAAGTATTTGGTGGGAAACTGTCTTAATGCCATTTTCCAGTGTGTATATTCAAGTTCTAGATTAGGTAAATTCTTAAACTTATTGTGGATAGCCCATTTGTTAAAAATATAAAATTAAAACAGTATGCTGTTAGATTTTTTTGCTTAGTTGCATTGCCTCTTTGATCATGTCCCAGCTTGCAAACTAAGCTGAATTGGGTTGGTTGGTTTCGGAGGATGCACGTGGGTAGTAGTGAGTTTTAAAGTATCATTTATATTGAGGCCTGCACTTGACCATGCAAGTACTAGATTGCAGGAGGATCCTTAGCGTTAGATTACACAGCTCAGTGCTTCCTGGTTGCATTTTAAATTTGATAATTTAAATTTTACACCTGTAATTTCTTCAGGTTGAAAGAGTCTTCCATTACAAGTGTGGTGACAGTGCTTAGTGGGGGAACAGGTAGGTCATTCTCAAAGGATGTGGTGCACCACACTGGTGTGGCAGGAGAGGATAGCAAGTGTGGCAGGAAGATTCAGTGACAATCATGAGTGATTCATGTTCTAATGTAGCTGCATTGTTTTATACATTCTGGATGTTCCATCGTCATATTATAAGAGTGTTTATCAAACTTGGGTCCTCAGCTGTTCTTGGACTACCACTCCCATCATCCCTGATCACTGGTCCTGCTAGTAAGGGATGATGGTAGTTGCAGTCAAACAACAGATGAGGACCCAGGTTTGAGAAACACTGCATTATACAGTAGTTGTGCACTTTGTTATGAATCAAGCACTGCTAGGAGTTGTGTCTTCTTTTATTTCCAATGTATTTTTTACCAATAAAAAATTAGGTATGGCATGAGCAAATTTTCATTCTGAAAATGTGTCCTAAAGAAAGAAAGAATGAAAACTGGGGCTTAGGACCCAAGTATTGGTTAGACTGCCTGCTCCCCTATATGTTTACCCCCCACCAATCTTTGAGGTCAGGTAGGACAACAGAGCTGTACTTGCTGATGGTGTGTTATGTAGCAACATGTGAGAAGGTGTCTTTTATAGTAGCACTCTGATGGTGGAAAGCCCTCGTCTTGCAGATTTGGGTCGTAAATATTAGACACCATGTAAATACATTTTTAATTACTCAGGCATTTGTTTTGTTGACTGCAAGAGATTTTTGTTGCTCCCAAAGTGCTATAATAGAATTTGATCTATTTTTGTGCTTTTCTTTTTTCTATTGCTTTGTTTTCGTATGTCCTTTACTCTAGGATTGATTTTAATGAAGAACAGATTATAAGCCACCTAAATAAATTACGAAATTGCTCTTTGGTTTAGTCATGCGACTGCCATCTGAATTTCTTTATACTAAATTTTTAAAGCTTATTTCTGTTACCTGGGAGGGATGTAATTGAGCCAATGCTGAACTTTCCAAGGTAGCAATCTACAACATTTATTGGCAAAGACAGATAATGTTTACTACAGTTTCGTATTAGTTTCTAGAAAAATGCTGAATGAGCATTGTTCTTGCCTGTGCTTGAAGTTGAACTATATTTAATTTTGAAGACATATCCTACAAGTCAGTGCAGAAGCCCATTTTTCTTTTGTAAAACCATTAGGCACAATGACATGCTCCAAAATCAATTTAAGCTTTACAAATATATATGAATGTCCAAAGACAGCCTTTGTGCTCTGAACTCAGATAGCTGATTCTGAATCTCGCTTGATTCTTGAATTCTGACATTTATGGCTACTTCATGTGAACTTAAGCCTTCAGTTTCTGCTTAGAGTTTATCTAGCTCAGATTTTGGGAACATTTGGCTCCCCAGATGTTGCTGAATGATAACTCCCATAAGCCCCAGCAAATATGAGCAGTAGCCAGAGATGATGGGACTTATGGTTCAGTAACAACTGGAGGCCCAAAGTTTCCCCACATCTGATATAGTTGCAGCTCTGAGATGTTGTGTGCTCCACTGTTGCGCTTCTTCACATACCAGCAACAGCCTGTCCCACATGTCCCTTCCTGTCAGAGACTGTGGCCTCTTGGGAATGTTCATACTTGGAGCTGGTTCACACATCATATTATCCCATAGTTGCATGCTGGTGCATGCTGCTCAGAAGTCCCTGAGTTGCTCTTCCCCTGCTTCTTCTGCCATGCTAGGGAGGCAACACCCCAAAGGCTAGCTTTGTTATGTGTGAACTAGCACTTGTAGTTTGCTTCTGTTGAAGGATTGAGAGGCCAGCATTTGTTCTTGGTTTAATGTAATCTTTGAGCCACGCCTTCCTATAAGCAGTAGCTTTGAGACAAGGAAATGGGCATCTTCATGGTTTTAACACATGATGTAGTGCATGGGTGTATGTAACTTGTGTGAAGTGATTATTGAGTTTTGTAGGTTAGATAATGTTAGTGTGTTAGAAACTCAGATATATAATCTAGTCACCAAATGGCACCTTAAACCTAGTTTATAATCATCGCCACAATGGAATCTCTAGGTACATCCCCCCTGTGAAGTTTGTTGTTGTTGTTCCTCATTTCATTTTTATATCACTCTATATTTTAAAGAACAAATCTTAAAGCAGTTTACAACACATTCAAACATAAAATGAAACAATCCAGAATAAAACAAGTTCAAGCTTAAATGAAAATATTTCAGATCCTTTCTAAGTGCTTTCCCCAGTCACCAACCTGGCATCCAGAGATCTCTGTGTGGTCGCTATTGGACCTGCACCAGTCGCAAAATGTGCATGGCACCTAGCTAATTTCTGGCACTTTTTGTAAGACTGGCTTTATTTAATGCTGAAAATTAACACTCAGTGGCATGTGAAGCAGTCTTTACACTGCTTCTCCAGCAGAAAATTGGATTACTTTAATTTTTTAAAAAATATATAGAGAGAGGTAGTTCAGGAGTGGCTCAGTAAGCTGACTTGGAAAGCATTGTTCTAAGGGGGAGGAACTCCTAATGCTTTCTGTTTGAATTGCATTTTTCTGGGTGCTATTTATTTAGGAACACAGGAAACAGTCGCAGCAAGTCAGACCACTGGTCCATGTAGCTCAGAATAATCTCTGCTCCCTGGTAGTGTCTCTCTAGGATTTCAAGTGGGGTCCTCTCTCAGCATTACTCAGAGATGCCAGGGATTGATCTTGGGAACTTCTTCACACAAAGCAGATTCTTTACCCAGAGCTACAGTCCATCCTTTGTTTGTTTTTTTGTTTGTATTTCTAGACCCTTCATCCCATAGGAAGTACTACTATCAAGGTTCCTGGAAGCTATTACACATTTTGAAGGCATATTTATGGTGTCAAATGAAACCCATTTTCTGTACAGTGGCCTTGTGGATGT